TAATCTACTGTGATCATTTTGAAAAAGTTCTTTGACTGTTTAACAAAGGAAAGAACATATTGATCCATCAAGTTCTACATTAATCATCTTTTCTTGGAGTATTGTTGATGTTATGAGTCAATTTCCAACACTGAGTAATTTATTGAACATTTATAATAGTAAAGAGTCAAGAGATGTTGCTGCTTTGAAATCAAGCTTAAATCTAAAATCTTGAAGTACTAATTTAGCAGAACCGACCTAAGAATATTCCTAGCATGGTGCTATCATTCAGCCATGTCCCAAGACTAGACTCTAGCTATGTTGATGATGATCCATGTTCTACATTGAGTTCTATATATCATCAATGAAAAAAGAATTTGCATGTAGCTATTGATCAAGATCTTACAGTAAATATTGTAACATGGTACACTCTGTCAAACCTAATTCAGTTCTAGTCCAACATACTCCAACATTTCTATTTCTATGCTTGGGATGATTATCTAGCTCGAGCTAAGATAATCCTTCTAAGTAGATCCTTAAAAACACTTTGAGACCATTTTGAAAAAATTGGCAGCAAACTCAATAGCTTTTGACGATAAATAAATAAAAATTTTTGGGTTTACCTATTTTAATACTACGAGTACTTTACTCAACAAAACATTAAATTGAAAACGAGATAATAAATACTAATAATACGGACTATTCAATTTATATGGCCTCATTATTCTTCTAAAAGATAACCCAAAGTCGTGATAATGTCATCCGTTGTCAGTGGTCATCCTCTTCTTACCCCAATCTCTAATAAAAACATTCAATAAAAGCATCACAATTTTTCCATTCTCTCATGCTGAAAAAACCCTGATAAAAATTTAATTTCTTCCATAAAAAAATTTATGCACACTTTGAAATGACAATTTTTTTAACACTGCTCTAAAAATGATCTTTAAAAAATTCTTTCATGCATAATGCTAACCTGTAATATTGATGCAGCAAAAAGACATGGGCTATCATCAAATCAATATCTATAATTACATTTAAAGATTAGAAAAAATTCAAATCAAACTATTCAATCCAGAATTCTTCAGATTAAAAAACTTCAAGTGCTAAAATTTACAAAATAATCCAAATTAATCATTCAGAAAGCTTAACTTCAAGAAGTCTGAAAATAAACTGCTGCTATTTATGATTCATTCATCTATGAACACACTTTAAATCTTCACTAAAGCTTCTATCTACACTTTATCAACTTCAACTGCATTCAATAAAGACTTGTAATTACTTCACATATAATATTGACATACAAAAGTTTTGTCTTCTATTTGAACTAAACAATTGATCCATTCAAAAAAACATAGAATAACAATTGTAGTTCTTACAAAAAAAAAGGTGTCCAATATTCAAGTTGATTGGTGATCAAAAGTTGTATTCTACAACACTTTATCACATTCTGTGATCTCTTTTTTATCAGAAACTACAACCGTTGTAACACTCTACCCAGTTAACTTTTAATTCCTTTGACGAAAATGAATTTTAATTGTCAATCGAATGTTCGATAATAGTTTAATCCATCCAGTATTATATCACCTTTTTTCATTTTTTTTTTCTTTTATCCATAACTGAATAAAAAAACACTGCACATTACAATGAATGTTCACCACAATTAATAAAATTCTACATTAAACAATGTTCAATGAATTAATTGAAATAACCAACTGTTTTTATCTGAGCCAAATAAAACAAATTCATCATTACTGTGGTGAGATAAATTCATCACTGAATGAAGTTGCAAGTATGTTAAAACCAGAATTACTGACAATTATCTATTCATTGACATGACAATGAACCGATAAATGTCTTTCACCTACAACTAGCTTGGAACTTGTCAGAAGATGGAAAAAAAAATCACCACTCTCTATGAATAAAATTTAATTCAACTTCATACTGCTCATGTATCTCCATCAACCTTCGGGTGAGTATTACCGATTTATGTCGCATCATAGTCCCTTTATTATTCCGCTATGGAGGTAGATGTTACATGAGATATCATGTGATTGAATCATGACATGTTCCGAACACGATAACCTAATGAACGATCTGAATGATGATCACTGCATGATTATCTACTGTCTATTGAATAGATTTAAACTGATAACAGGAGCATGTATATCCGCGAACACAGCTTTATCCACAGTATATGAGTTTAAATTGTGACTAACGATTAATAGTCTCCGCTTTTGTTTAATTCATTTCGTACATAAATATAACTTTATATGATATATATAAAATCTGAGTAAATCATGGAGTAGATAAGTTGTGAATGATTGGAGTTAATAAAGTTGAATTTATGACGAAATAAACACTATTTTCACAGTGATATATATCTCTTTTTTTATGAGATTATTAAAAGAATACAATTTTATTTTAATGTTATAATTTGTAGTGGAGGTATTTTATTAACTTCCTATTAAGAAATTATTGTAATTCTTTGACATTCGAAATTTTATCATATCTTTACGTTTTAAGGTATATAAAAGCATGTTAGAAGATTTAAAAATACAATGAAGAAGATCTGGAAGGAGTTTAAACAAATTTGGCTCAGCCATTTTCTTTCTTACAAAAAGACCATTAAATAAGTTGAGTAAAAAAGACATTTAGGATCTACTTATTAAGTGATTAATATTGTTGAATACTGAGGTCAGTATCAATACAATATGGTTATCAATGACTTCACATGATTTTAAACAATTATATATTGTTTAATTTGTTATAAATAATTAAAAATAGTTTCAATTTATTGAATGATCATTACTATGATTATATTCAATAATTTTATGTGATAAAATAATTGTGTATTGTTTATAAAAATTACAATTTGTTATAAACAAAAATAACTCAAAGATGAGAAAATCAAGTTCGTCATCAAGACTTAAAGTGCTCCATGTTTTAAATGTTATAATTTATAGTAGAGGTATTTTATTTTTTTCTATCAGTCAAGAAGCTATACATGAGGTATAACTGAAGCAAAGAAGTAGAAACTGTTGAACATGATATCTCTTTTTGTCATTCGCCGTCTAAGAGCTAACGATATCCGTCGTAAAAACGGTAGTCAGAAAATGCCAAAGACGAAGAAGATTCTCTTAAAATCCCTAAAGAGTGGTCGAGAATATCCAGTTTCTTTAACGTTTTTATTTTTTTTTCTTCCTCTCTCTCTCTCTTTCTCTCGTTTAAACTCTTTTCTTCTTCTGACTTGGCTCTGTAGCTCAGTGTTCGAGATGGCCCTCACACGGTATAAGACTCGAATTTAAGTCCAACTTACACGATATCTGCTTGGCACACTCAGCGATGCTAGGCCACTCTATTACGTGCTATAATACTCTACTCGTGGTTCTTCTTGAATCTCTATTAAAATTGCACAATGCTGCTAGGAGGAAAGATTGTGTCTCCGTCCACGTGGTTACCTTATTATTTTCATCCTATACTCTACCAAATTCGATTCTTACGAGGAAGAGAAAACGAGTGATGAGGTACATAAAGTATTATGGAAAGAACATTTTTTTATTATTTTTTTCATCTCATAACGAGTGCCGCGTTCAGATATACCAGCTGCGGTATTAAGGGTCCTATGATTTTCTATAAGAAGCTTTTAGCTTAGATACGAGACTGGATATTATTCTCCAAAAATTTCTATATCGAATCTCGTGTTGAGAAACGATTGAAAGGACAATGACGGAATTTTTCTCCTGATCGCAATATCGTTGGTCTGATTAAACTCCCTTCTTTCTACTTTGAAATGAAGGTAACTCGTAGTAATTTATAACGGATCTTTGAAATCCTCATGATTCTTTTTATAATTCATATTCAATTTCTAGAAATTATTATCGGATCGTTCAATTTACTGATTCATTATTACATGAAAATGACGTACGATTTTATATATCCAATTATAGTTATGATGCAGGATTAAAATTATCTTTTAAAGTTACTTAGAGGAACCAAGATAATTATTTTCAAATTGATTAAAAACTCTAATGTAATGAAGTTTTTTAAATTAATGCTTTATTTGATATTAGTCTTTGATATATTATGTTTCATATGATATGGACTTTTGTATTTACTCGTTTGATGCTGAAGGACTTTCAAGATAAAAAGAATTCACATTCAGATAAAAATTATGAGATAATTTTATCAAGTTCTATGTGATTAAGGACAGTTAATATCAATAATCATGTCATGTACGTAAAATAAAATGGCTTTAGACAATTAATTGTTCTATTTTGGATAATACTGTAATTAAAACATGGAGAATACTTCATTAATTAAGACAATTTGTGCAATAATGGTGTAATATTGATTAAATTTTATGAGAAGTATGAATATAATAATTAAACTTGTATTAATATAAAATTCCAAGTTTTAGATTTTAATATTTTTATTTACATGGGTTTTAATTAATTCAATTAAAAATATTAATCTTAATCCTGCAATGGATCCAGTGACATATAAAGTACAACCAATATTTTAAAAAACAGTCTAAACCTGAAGTGAAATCATATATATTTTTTCAAACTAAAAAAAAAATCATACATTGTAGGGTTAAGCTCAAACTTTTATTATAGTCAGATGATTTATCATCAAAATTCTGATTTGAACAAACTAAAATAATTTTAGTAACAAATTTGATGCCTGGGTTATAATTTTAAAAATTATATTGAGGTCAATAATCCAATTCTCCTGATGAATTTATTTAAAATAATTTTTTTCTATTTTTTAAATAATCAATAATTCCATTTTTTTGTTAATAATATAATTGTGATGATACAAAATATAAAAGAATTATTTAATAGTTATAATTTTGAAGGTGAGAAAATTTTGTAAGCAGATAAAAGTTGTAGTATGTTCAAATAAATTTTTTATAAAACTTATCGAATTTTTACTGCTTTTTATTGAATGGATGTATGTATATATGAAACTGCAGATCCTCCAAATATACTTTCAATGATAAGTAAACCTTTCTGGCTTACCTGAACAGATTCACTAGTGCTGACTCCTCTTCAAGACTTTGCTGGAGCTGCTCATGGCCTTTCAAGCTTACCAACACTTTGAAGCTTCCTAATCTGTAGTGACACATAAATTGCATAATCATAAAGGTTTTACGATAAAATTGAAGCTACATTTTTCACTTTAAACTTGTTTGCTTTTCCATCGTTATCGAACTCAGCTTGTTACACTGATGATACCTCTAGTTTCTTCCTTGTTGATATTTGATGATTTATTGGTGTTTCAAAATTTTACAACTCTATTTCACACTTTTTTTTATCAATTCGGGTTAAAAATCATGTTGCAGGTGTTATTATTGTGTAAATTGGTATAAACACATTCCAATTATTCGAATAACTTTAGACAATTATCAAAACCAATGTTGATAAAATATTATTGCTAGTAGTAAAAAGACTTGAATGTTCATAAAAAAAGAAATGATCAACCTGCTTAATCCTAATCTTTTCTATAGCAGACCTACTAATAGATTTACCTAGTTGATCAAGAGTGACTCAAAGTGATTCAGGATAACTTTCTTCAACGAGCTTTTGAATCACAATTTTATCACCAATAATGTTTTGGAGTCAGTATGAACAATGGCTGTCAATTTCAACATCAAATGCTACTTGGGAATGATCTTCTATCATTCAAGATCTAGACTTTCAACCTTCAGTACAATTATCATAAAAAAGTTCTCAGAATAATCTAATTTTAGAGTCATCAATGATGATCTTTACAAACAGATCTACCATAAACCTGACAAGACTTGTATTGGTCGACTTATATTATAATATTGTTTGGCTGATCCTTAGGGGTTGGTATACTCAGCCCCCCAGGTAGATAAAAAGCTGCACTATCATGTTCAAAAGAGCTTCAAGAAGGTCCAACATTGCCCTGCTTGATCATACCTGATCCAAATCCACCAATGATTCATTTATGTAGCCACTTATCTGGCTACAATACTAGCTTTAGAGTCCACTTTAATAGAATGCTATTTTATTATATTTCTTTTGCTGTTATTTCATAGAATGAATTTAATATAAACTTTTTGAAATCACTATTTAAATGGTCCTGAATGACATTTGATGTAAACCAGGACTATTCATTCGAAAAAACTGACATGTATGGGATTTTTATTAAATTATTTTTACAAAACTGTCTTCTGAAGAAGAATGAAGAGAAATGAGAAGAGAATTCACAAATTTCCGGAGCATACCAGACACGACATTTATTTGTAATTTACAAGCTACGGATTGCCTCTTTCCGCAGGATATTGAATGAAGACTGAACTGTTATTTCCGGGATGCTAATTAACAAGAACGAAGAAGAACTGGTACTCCGCACTAAAATTCAAGTCTCAACAACGATAAACTCTTTAAAAAAAGCAAAATAACAGCAACACAGAAAGAAAAAGTCAACAAATCAGTTATAAGTAAAATGATAAAAGTGGCATCTTCCAAGACATGACAGCTTTTTATTTGATGTCATATCTTTCTCCATGGTTATATAATGGTAATCAATTTTGACCGTTCTTCATGTACTATTCACAGGAAACGATGATTTTCAGTTGCAGTGTGAAGTAGAAGCTGTACCGGAAATTGAAAGTCTGTTACGTGATTTCCGGCTGACGTAGCATCACTCGCTCGTTTTTCTTCGGCCATTTCAAAACGTGATCATGAATACTAGTTATTAGTGAGCATGAGAAGAGCCAAATGCAACTCGTAAATGTAGCAGATCATAGATTTAACGTCTTAAGTTCCAAGGGCCGTTTGTCATGAAATCCTATCACCGTTTACCCATCTTCTGCTAATTTCCTAGACTCAATCGCAATGTCCTTAAAGTGCTAGATAATTACGTTCTGATTAATGTTTAAATAACTTAGCTATATAATAAAACTGGTTGTGCTAAATTACTTAAGCTAATTATTTGTTTCATCAATAACATCTAATATACACTATCTAATTGAAAAATTTGACTGTTCATTTCATTTGAACATAAATAACTCTAATTACTTTAAATTAACTTCAATATTCATTTTATGATAGCTACTAAGTTGGATTTATTGCAATTAATTTTAAGTTATTGGTTGGAAAAATATTCTCATATTTTTTTAACACCTTTCAACATGATTGAAGTATTTTTAAATCACTAGTTTATTAAGACTTGCTTGGTTGTGATGTTCAAATGTCTTTAACACTTTTTATTTTCACTTAATCACACTTTATTCTGTTTAATCATCACCAATTGTCACTTCTCGAAGGTTCTATTTATTGCCATTTTTTAACATACATATTTGTAGGTTAGTTGACAACAGACGCGGCGTTCGCGAAATAAATGAACGATGTTGAAAACCGGACTGCTTTTTTTTTTTCTAATTATGGTAGACCTTAACTGACCACTTGCTACGGTACTCCGTTTCGATTTTTTTATACAATAATGTAATTTTAATAAAAACTTCTAAAGCTTTAGTTGCTTTAATAAACAAAAAAATGACACTTACGAATTATTTAACCTCTTACCAAACTCTTCCTAATTTTAATTATGTCATTTCACATTTATATGAATGTTTTATTACTATGTAACCAACTGGACATGTTCCATTAATAGACAATTAAATAAATCATTACTTACCATAAATCAGACTATTCTTACTCTTATCGGAAATCATGAAAGTAGTATTATCTGGGTTTGTTCCGATCTTTTCTTTACACAATAAGTCATGTCATAAATTATTCATATACGCTCAAAAAAACAATAAATCCGGAAACTTAAAGAGGATATATCATTATTTCAACAAAAATTAAAGTCAATTTTTTAACCACAAAATTTCATTACCAAAATATCAATAATAATTAATAAAGTCACTTGACTGTTTCAAGATTGAATTAAACTGAATTTAGAACACTTAAACATCATGGGAAATTAATTAATTGAATCCTCAAGCGTTGGAATAAATTTTTCTCAAGACTTATTGACTTGGAATCGATTTGATGTCATTTTATTGTTGACATGTTGCGACATCTATCGAATTTTGACTGGCAATGAAGCGCTTTCGTGAATCGTAGGAGAATTATCCATGAAATGCGTGTCATTTCTCATTATCATGGTGTAGCGATTCACCCGTTATAATCGATTTGGCGTGATTTTGGTTAAACTGACGTCATAGAAAGTTTAGCCGCGGTGGTGGAGCAAGCCGCGTACAACCCGTCAAGCAATACGAACTTGAACATTGTTCCCAAAGTGGTAAGCACGCTCTTTTATCCCACCATATGCATTCCCTTTATTCTGTTGTTATTCACCAAATTAATGGCATGCTTTTCGATCTCTATGTTTGACAGAAATCAGTGAAGTTTGGAACAAGCGAAAAAAAAAAATACTAAAAAATAACCTAAAAACATCAATAGCATTGCTGACATTTTATTTGTATAAATGTTTAATACATTTCAAATGAGGGTTGAAAAAGTTGAAAATACTAAACATGTGTTGAGTGGTTGGTTATACTTGACTGATATGAGCCCACAACTGAACGACTGTGAACGATAGATAGAGAGTAGGCTGGCTGTAGGTAATGCTTGTTCGATGAACCAATGCTTCTGGTGTGTTAGAGGCACATTGAGAAATACTGGGATGTATATGAGAGGATTGCAAAAGCAGCAGAGACGATACGTACGCATGTCGTGGGGCTTGGAAGGACAAGGACCGATAGTGAGGCCATCAGGAAGGAGGGAACAGCAGCCAGGAGTTGATTGCGTCCGGCCGAGATGATTGCTTTTCGCGTGGCAATTCGCACACACGGTCACATGTTGGTTACTTCTCGCACACTGAGGCACGGATTACAGGCTCATATACACGCGACACGGCATGTACCCGAGTCCACTGGTGATTACTGGAATCTTCTATTTCACTCACTCTTATACTTGCATCCTTTATTCACATTCCAACGATATTTCAATATTCCAATAGTTTATTCGTCTGGACCTGTGGTTACCTTCTATTGCTGGAAAATTACCTTCATTTCTGCTAACGGCAACTATATACACCAATGAATCTGCTGCGAAAACTACTGGTGAAATTCAATCGCTATGACGAAATAACAAAAAGATTGATTGTACGATAGAGTATGAAATAGTAAGTAACTGATAAAAATATATATATATTGTTATACGTTAATTTTTATTCTATTTTTATGACATTAAAAAAAGGATCTTTTTTATTTTAGAAAAGTTATTCAACTCAATGGTTTTTGTCTTTGCATTAACACCACTGCTGTTCAACTTATTGCACTAGTGTTGCGAAAAAATGCTTTTTTCATGAGATAAAGAAAAAATGTATTTTATGCAGTTTATGAATTTCAACTTGGATAAAAAATTATTTAATAAAAGCAAGAACTGTATTTATGAACGCCTTGAATATTTTAGAGACAATAGAGCATAAAGCTATGTCATATTATTTTCGTTGTCCAACGGAATTAATTATTCTGCTTGAACTAATGTTCAAAATATACCATTAAAGTTGGAGTTAAATAGATAAATTAATATTTTTTTGTATATTATTTTTGATGGGTTGTCAAATGAATATACTGGTGAAAGTTATAATATTATTCCTAGTTAATGAAGGAATTAAATATTAAGTTGAGTTGATAAATTAATTTGAAAGATGTAAAATAATTTAAAATCTCTATTACTACTTCGTTACACAATTAAAATCATTTAATTTAATGTTGAGATAGGACCAAGGTAAAAATTTAAGGTCAGATTTTAATATAATTCACATGAGATTCACATCTTAATTATTTTTTTTGGTTATTTAAGCAAATAAAAGCTTCAAGGGAAGCTTATTAAAGCTCTTCAGAAATATACAACATTAATGTGACCTTTTTTTTTATTAATTAATAGAAAGACTAAATATTTTTTATTAGCTTTTTTAATTTATATTATCATAACATTTATGCATATAAATTAAAATTGAAATGAACTAAATCTTATTATTTATTAAATATTTTTGAGCTTTCAACAATAAAATGATAATGGCTAATGATTTTGTTTATTGTTGTTTATACATTGTCTATAAACAATGATAAATATCCATAAGCAATTATTTTTTTTCCTTAAATAAATAAACATAGAATTCAAACAAGTATCTAACTTACTCATCATCACATTTTTGTCCTGAAGAATTTTTAAATTTTCCACCTGATAATGTATATTATCGATAAAAAGACACTCCTTTGAAGTAAAACGAAAACAATTTTTTATAATGTCTCAAGAGTAACTCAATTTACATTTAAATCAAAAAATTTGTGATAAAATGAAAAATAAAAAAGATTTAAATTGAAAAACGTCAAATTGTGTGGTAATGGATAAAAATACTGATCAACACTCGCTTTGACATCAGTTTATGTGTAGTCAACTTTGATGCGGTTTAGTTATAAAATAATCTGATGATTATTACCATGGAAAAAGCAATTCTAGAATAATAAAATTAATCCATAATATGTAAACAAAACAGTTTTATCCTGAATACATTGTAAATAAAATATTTCATATTGATATGCTTCATAAAATTTGATCATAGCTTTCCAACATCTAGACATCATTACACTAATTTAATAAAACTTTCTGTCCATCATAACATGAAGCAATAAGAATCTTTACAAGCTAGTCTAAGTCACAGTTATCAGATGCTAATAATTTTTTCTCTACAATTATTCCAATAAATTAGATTTATTCATATTAAAGTGTAAGGTATGGCGATGGTTTAGATTGTTTTAACTATTTTTTAGATTTACTTGTAACCGTACTTGACGACTCAATACCCTAGATAGAATTTGCTTCGTTAAGTAAAGCTTCTTGCCCACGTTAAGACATTGCATATCCATGAACTACTTGAAATTGATCTTAATCCGTAAACTAACGTGTTCAGTTGCATCCGTCTGTTCTCACTCCCAAGGTACTTAGCGCTTAAGAGGTAGAACGATGAAGCTTAAGAAACATGAGATATTTGAAGATGGAAATATGCACTAAAGAGCAATTTAGCATTGAAAATGTGACAAAATAATCAAAATTATTATTATTATTTTATGTACAATAATGTATTATAATGTTCCCAAAAGAAATTAATATTTCTTTAGGGATATTTTTTAATTACATCCTAAATTTTTACTAATATTTATCCTATCTTACTCCAAAAGAATAAAACTAGAATTCGAATCAAAAGGTTTGAAATGAGGCTTTATTTTCTATTTTATCAGAGATTTATTATTTAGGGATATTTTTAGCAGGATATTTTTGATGAGGATGAAAATGGGTGGTGCCGAATTATCAACCAACATTGAGATGAAAGGCTATCAATATTTGTTGAAAAAGATCTGTACCAATGTGATAGAAGAAGGAAAACAAGTGATGGAATGATATTCACCAGAATAAATAGGTCAATAAATTGATGAATAACAGCATAAAAGATTGATGTTGAATGTTTGAAATAAACTTAGATTAAATTTATTTCAATAATTTCATGATAAAGTGTTCTGAACAGGTCAGTAGTCTGATAGTTGTTTTGAGCAAGTGTTTTTTATCATCATTAGCGAGTAGATTAGAAAGCATTGTTGATTTATCATTTGATGCATTTACTTGTCTATTCACAAAAGACATGTTGAGAATGCGAATTGATTAATTATTCATGCACGTCCGTCGTTGGACCAAACGCTCTCGTCGCCGTCACTTCGTAACAGCTCGTTTGGATGTTTAGCATGACTATAGGATTCCCTGCAGTATAGAGAAATCAACTGTGTTAAGGAATACAACGCTTATGTCCAGTTCTCTTTACTATACAAAATGGAATTATATTAAATAATTAAATTCCTTTAGCTCACGTACAAATTAATTGAATTAAACTAATTATAATACAATAATAATACTTAATACTTTTAGATTTTTACAACACAATATAATACAAATCATTGATCATTATTTTACTATTCATGTTGAATTTTTTTCTTGCTCATTCTAGTGACTTTTTAAAATTCTACACACAACCATAAAATTATATCTCAAATGAGAACAATGAGATAATCGAATCTAATTATTCTCTTGTAATAAACAAAAAAGAGTTAACGTTTCATATGAGGATTTTTAAATATTGAGTATCTTCATTGAAAAAAAAAAAATTAAAGTAACAAATTCATTTCAATAAATCCAATTTACACTGACCCACATTTAAATTGATGCATGTGATTAATTTACAGTGAATAAAATATGTCAAATACAAATGGATTCTTTTCTGTTGGTATTGATCGATTTATTTATAATGGAACGAGCTATTGAAAATTGAATTAAATGATCCCGGGATTACTTTCGGTGAACCATCTATTTTGAAATGCAAAAATCGTTGGTGTTTACGGATGGTTGCATTGAACAATTTGAAAAATTTTAAGCCGCTTTTCTCCGCAACACTTATGACCGTTTCTCTGGATACTACCAATAAAATGACCATGAGTAATCCAAATGGTTGGTAGTTTCGAGCCATTTTTCTTTCATTGGCACTGAATTCATGCGAGCTTATTACCAGCCATATCTCAAGTTACTACTGCCTCTACCGAAAGATAGTCGTTTATATAAAATCCTTTCATGAGGCAAAGAAGACGTGGAATTGACCATTATTATACAAGAATACGTAAGGTTATATCCTGTGTCGTTCAACCAAGCATAACGATGACTTTATCCACATGATACGCGCATCGACTCCATTTGACGTCAAATAGAAACTTGGAACCTTATATTTTTCATCATTATAAAAATAAATGGATCAAAATATTAAAAACCATGAAAGGTGTATTCTTTTTGGTATTTTTCTGAATTAGGTATATTATAAAATGAAAGTAGCATATTTTTGTAAAGAGGAACTGATGCTTTGTTTGAGAAATATTTAGCTTATAGTTAGTAAGGTCACAGAAATACTCTGTTTTTTACTCTACTTCTCTTGGTTCACACATGAGAATATAGTAGTAAATTACGATATAATTTAATCAAATCGACAAAGTATTGACAATCACAGAGTATGGTGAAATCTGTGTATAGCATTAAGGAAATTTGAATCGCAACGAGTACACTATGGCGTTACCTTCTCGCTTCGACAAATTTCCTGAATTGAGTAATCCAAGCGTAAAGACTCGGAAGGGAAACAGTGCAAGCAAAAGGAAGGATAAGAGGAATAAGATCATTCCGATTTCCGCGTTTCCACTCTTCTATACTTGTGCGAAAGAAAGGAAGCAACAGACCATAGTCAGTTGGTTTACTCGATCTACAGATCCTTTTGAGAACTTGGAATAATTCAATTGTTTTGATATAGTCGTCTCTCACTATTCTAAATTTTCCCCTTAGTTAATATTCTAATATTTTATCATCTAGTTATTTGAACGTAGTAAAGTAATTAATATGATAAAATATATCCAGGTCACTTGGAATATTAAAAGTTATTGAACACTAAGACTCTTATCTGAGAGTTTTTCTGTACACAATTTAGCATTTGAGAGTCAATAAATTCATATTCTATCACTGTAAAGTTACTTGTATTCTAAACAATTGTAAACTAATATAATAAGAGTTTATGAACTTGCTCGTATGTACTTTTTTATTTAAATTCATTATTTAAAATGATTTAAATTAAATATTTCCATTGATATTATACCTTACATACTTATGCTATCAACGAAACACTTATCAAGCTCTTCAACATCAATAATTGTCAATTATTCCTTTAGAATTTTAAATTGTATCTGTTATCATATTCGTATCTTTCAGAATCCATAAAACAAAAATATAAAATTGAACTTCCAAATTTTGTAATAAATTAACAAGAATTCCATGAATACAAATCATTGGGTCAACTCCAATTGGAAAATTCTGTAATGTCTAAAACCAAGAATATAACATGAAATCTAAAACATTAAAGAATTATTGATAATTGCAAATGGTCTTTTCAAACCATTGGCTTTGATAGCTTCATACTTCACGAAATCGAATCGGAGACCGCATTCACGTCTGGTCCTGCTTTATATACTGAACCCACTAAAACTTGCTCTCTGGCTATCTAGAATAATAGATAATAGGAAAATGTTCAGATTCAGTTGAACCGCAAAATTCATATGTCATACAACACATCGTCCAGTCTAGTGTAAAAACAATATATAGAATTAAAGACTCTAGTAAATATCCCATCTACCTGTGATGGTTGTGAATATTAATAAATCTCTGGTATATGACTGAAAACGTTGAGAATTCGTTAGGGAGGCTAAAGTTCGCATGAAGTAAACGCCATCAGCGAAAACTTAATTAAATATCCAAAGTGTCCAACAAAATTACTGAAATAGCGATGATGACTTTTCCAAGGCAAAGTCCTTTCTTATTACTCGAGAGACGATGCAACGCTATGTCTACTCCACTTGCGACTATTACTACTTAACGTCTAATAAACGTCGCACCATCGAGGTCATACATTTCTTCAGGAATACTTGAGCAAAAATTTCTACACTTTTATTTTTTTATTTTCATACTTCTATCCCCTTATGTAACATACGGTAATGAGGGTGTGCTATAAAATCTTGTAAATGCAGCTTATACCTTCCTTTTTTTTGGCATTAAACGACAACGACAGCTCGTTATTACTTTGAGTATGAATACATGCCTGAATTATATGCTCGCTTTATTAATGTCGTCTTTAGACTGAACACTCATACGTATAGGATAACTAGTCATTTGATTATATTGAAATGTCTCTACTGCTGATGTATCAAAGCTAGCAAATGATTAACAAATAAACTATTAATCGTGGAGTAATGATGCAGTTGAAATTTACCTACATTTCGATGACGTATACAGAAAATGTAACGTTGATTAAGCTTGATGTTTCAATCATTTGCAGAAAATTATTTTTCAAATTCAATCATTAACAAAAGTATTAAAGAAACAATTTATTCTAAATTGTTATTCAATATTAAAAAATAATATAAATATTAAATATTTTCATATATTATAATTTAATTGAAAGTTAAAAGCTTTTTGGAGTTGCTGAAATTTTTGCATGAATTTCAATTAAATAGAATTCAACTACTTATGAAAAATCATTAATAATTCATACCCATCTATTTTAGTTTAGTTCAGCAAAAATCATTTATGATTTTTTTACGACAATTTTCATTTAATTAAATATTTTAATCACATTACCATTTAATTCTAATAGTTGTTTTAAAATAAAAGTTAAAAAAATTCTTCAGTTAATAGAATATAATCAGTTAGTAAACCCTAAAGAATGAGTGTTCATTTGTACAATCTGCCATTCAAAATGTTTAGAATTATCTAATCTCATGAATACATGAGTGTAATTGGACTTCTCTTAAATATGTTTCCATCGATTTCCATTGAATGACTGGGCAAGCTACCAGAGCTACCAGCCAATATCTTTCCATCATTGCATTCTATGCATGATATACTGTGATTTATCCTTCATAAATATCTTGTAGGAATAGGATTCATAACTGAATGTTATCATCCTACTATCACTATCATAATGAATATTCGTTTTCTTCTTGAGATCAAACACTGCTCTCCATGAGAGATGTGAGTCCAGCTGGGGGAAATTTTACAAATCCATCTACACTTGATAGTTCAGATGTGTATGCTAACTGACGTCCATGTCTTGATTTTAGAATGTCTTGAACTGAAAGTTTATCTTGAGTACAAAATTGTACCATATTTGGACTATGGTTATGTATGATGTAATATGAGTCCAAACCATTATTGGTAAATACACAAACTTCTGTTACGGTTGAATGTATTAAAGAACATGTATACTTGTTGAACCAGAACAATATACCACCACTATCTGGCAGATGAGCAACAAAATTATTTGGATCAATATCATCACAGGAATATGAGTCATTCTTGAGATTAGACTCTTTCAGGAAACTCATGGGATGCATCGTCGTATTCGCAATAGAAATTATTCCAGGCTCGTTAATTAATTCCTCCCACGTAAGTCTACGTGGGTATTGTTGATGAGTTAAATATATTCTACGTAATTGAATAGATCCAAGGATAAAGTCACCAGTTTTGTTGCTATCAAGTTGACATGTAGCTATGTAAGGTCTTTGTACTCTTACTGAAAATTTGACTTTTTTTGTTTTAAATATTCCTAGTCCAATAAATGGTAGAATAAAGGTTCCATTTATCCCATTGATATCCCACCAATTTGTACGTACTGTATAGCCTTCAGCATCAAACAATCCAAAACGTACGTGAGGTGACTGAAGATGACACAACTTTTCAGATAGTTTCTTCACAATTTGTGGTAAATTCCCAACCTTTGAGACAATCACTTTGCATACTTCTTCATGAAACTTGAATTAACTACTGTTAAAATACCTTTGTAAATATTTATAGTTTAGAACACATAATCTATAAATGCAAGAGCCATTTTTATAAACACCTCTTTTGATATCATCTGATTAATTCACAGTTATATTCAATGATGAAATGGATTTCTCATTAATTACAAATTGAAGATCTTTTGTGAAGGTATTATTATAATCATATAAATAATTCGTTAGCAATCGTGTCATAGCAAACTGTAGGGAATAAATATGATTAAATCCCATCTTCGTGCCATAGTCGATCACTGGTATTATTTTATTAATCAAATCATGGCAGATCAATATTTTAATAGTCTCATCATTACCAATGTATTTGTATGCAACTAGAAACCTCATTAAATTGATGGATACATAGATCCATGACGAAATTTTCAGTTCAAATGGATTTGTGTTGTAGAATGTTGAAAGATTATCAAATTCTTTCCTAATCATTTCTACAATGGATGCTGCAATCTTATCATATACTTCATTTGTATTTTTTTTATAGTTTTCATGTTACTCTGAGTCAAAAGGAAAAATATTCACTGTTGAAATGAGTTAATAGTTTTTTATCGTTGGAGTGGTCAGACAGGTTTAATCACTAGACCAGTTATTTGTATGCAGTTTAATTATTGCAGGCATAAGGTACTGACTATTACAGAGAATTATTATCATGATTGGAAAGATTCTCATAAAAAATACAGTTCCTAAAAAAAAATATTTAATCCTTTATTCTCACTTTGAATCTTGAATTCAATGAACTCAAGCAAAGACGGGAAGCTTTCACATAGAATCTCATGATTGAAATTTATAAGAAAATAATGGAATGTTAACATTTGTTACTACAATGTCTTCAATTTTATTGATAAGAGAGCGAAAGTTAACAAAAAAAATTCGATTAATTTATTCAATTGTATAAAATGGATAATAAATGACTTGAATCAATAACTATCAAACATTTGAAACGGCTTTCTTCATAAATTTTCTTACCAACAATTCTCAATATGAGATTCGATATCAGTGAAATAATTTACATACCACTTTTCAACCAATAATCTTCTTTGCCCAATAAAGAATAAAACAAATGTTCTATCGGATATTCAAAAAATAGTTGTCTCCGGAGAGCAATGTATACCATCGTAGCCCAACCTTTTTTCTTGTATTTTATTTATTGGCAAATAGACCAAGCTGTTAGGAAAATTAACAAAAATAAAGAACAGCAAAAATAAGAAAGTGATTATCAAGCAATTTTCTTAATAGCTAAAAAAAAGTTGTAAAACAACATGAAAAAGCACGTTATCGATGATGAATTGCTACATAAATGTGTGATGAGTGAGGAGAAATATTGGTGAATGGTTAAATCAATATTCATGGAAAGTTGAATAAATTATTGCAATCATTCAGGGCATGCTAACATCAAAATCTGAATGTAATTTTTTTGAGTTAGCAAAGTGACACAGGTATAGATGAATGATGCCAGGTAATAAACATGTATATATGTTTATTAAAGAAACCCAGCCATTATATAGTATACAAGTGACGCTATAAAAATATCTATTGGCCCAGGTGGAGCAGTTTACAGTAGAGTATTGTCCCGTCTAAGCCGCTCTCCAATATTTCATCAACTTCCTTATTTCTCCTTTTCCACACTACAAGTTTCTCTCATACTTTTACGTCTCCCATCTTTCAATACCACCACAGATTATGCTTCATTTTTTTTTTCAACCCTTCAAAGCACCTTCTGTCCCTTCACTGAATTCCAGTTGCAATCTTTTGAGAAACTTTCAGAAATGAGATGCGCAATATATGTCCAAGTATTTTATAAGGGTTTCTTTTCCTTTGGCATAAGAATATTCTTATGTGAATTCTATTGTAATAGTTATGTGATATTTTGATGTATTTTGTTGAATTTGAGCTTCCCCACTAACATTATTTCCGTTTCAATCATCTTATTCCAATCTTACTAAAATATTTAAAACATTTTGTAAAACTTACAATTGCACTTCCCACTCTTAACCTTTCTTTTTTTTTAATAGCAAAGAAACCTTCTAACACTTATTACTTCTTGTATTTATTTTCAGTTTTTTTCCTTACTTCACTACTTACACGAATGTATTTATGACTTTTCTATTAAATTATCAAACAACTTGATTCAAATGTTTACAAAACATTTCATACAAAAACAAAACAAAACTGTCTGTGTAATTAATTACCAACTGAGGAAAAGTTAGGACTACAAAGAAGAATTTAAAGTCTTCGAGGTTAGGATTCACAGTTTACAATCCTAAAGGGTTAAAAAGCAAAAATAGATATCAGTCTACGATATTTATTTCAGAATAGATTGATCACTTAAACTAAATCGTGATATCTACCTTGGAGCTATCAAAATTTACATTATTTTACATACAGTTACGATCTTTGACCCTACAGTTGGCTTAAAATTTCAAATGCCAATATTTAATCTTTGGGTTTGAGTTTTTCACGAATTTTCTCGGATTGTGGATATTTTACAAATTCTAACAAAACTGAGGGATCAATTACATTCTTTTAATTATTTATGGAATGATAGACAGTGATAAAATAACTTCAGAAAAAGATGTCTAAGGTGAATAAAAGAAACATTACAGTTGAACTCTATTTAATGCAATCTCATTATTTATGATTTAATTCTAATACTTAAATAAATTCTTGCAGAAAAAACATGGTAAATACTACAATTAAAGTTATAAAAAAAAGCACATAAATTTAAGGGAGAGGTTAAAAGGTTGAACACTTGATACCTTTCTCTATTGTTTGAAGTATTCAATTATTACAATTCATATGCATGAAGAAACACCATTGCAAAATTCACCCTCATATTGCATTAATGTTTACAATTTTTTTTCAAGTGTAAAAATACATGCGGGCAGTAAGAAAAACGTTAAAAAGTACTGTTGATATTAAAGTCATTGTTGTTTTAATTAACAGAAAGAATGTAAACTCCAACAATTTTATTTAATCTATTTGAAAAAAAGGAAGTTAAATAATGAGAAAGTTTAATTAACTATGAATCAAAAGTTCAATTACCCTTTTCGTCAGTTTTCAGATACTTTTCTCCTATTTATACCATCTTGACATTCCATTAGTCATTTCTCTTCATAATTAATTAAATTTTTCAAATACTATCGTGATAGAAATAAATTCTTGACTGAAAATAATTCTAAAAATATTAGAAAAAAAAATTTTCAAGCCACGTATAAAATGTGGTTTTTTGCTATGTAATGAATTCTGTAAGAATAAGGGGATGAGAAGTCCAAGGAGCCTTGTTACCGTTCTCATGCCAGACGTAAGGAATTGCTCGACAAAATTATTCCCTTTATAAATCAGCAGCCATATGTTTAAACGTTCATATTCAGCCTCATCTCAATCTTTTTTCCTTTTCCACCTTCGTGTTTACACATTCTCCAAATATGATTATGCACCTGAAAATGAGTTGTGTCTTATGAGCACATATTTTTTTACATAAATTCGTTTGAAATGAATTTAATAAGTTTAGAAAAACTTTTTACTTCTATTTCTTAATTAAATTTACATGCAAAACCGATAAACAATTGTGATTAATTCGGATAGTTTATTCTTTTATTTATTCATAAGAATAACAATCTTTTAAAATTTAACAGCAAATAATTAATTGGAGAGTTAATGTGATTGTGCTTTATAAAATCATGAGTTTAATGGAAGAAAACGTTCACTGAATAACTCCTTATCTTTTTATAGAAAGAACGTGATAACATTAAAATATAAAATAATATTGATTATAATATTTATTAGAGTATCGTGACAGTAATTAGAATAATAATTACAGTTTTATTAAAATGATATTTTGAAATGAATGAAAAAATATTTCAAGATGAAAAAACCATTCATAAAATTTATTATTCATTTTTTAATATTTCTATTTAAGTTTTCCAAACTCTGTAATTCTGCATTTATTTAATAAAAGTTTATATTTATAATTTATAAAATACCGAATTAATTTGACAAAATAAAATATAAAACTATAAATAAATAAATAAGTTAATTAATAATTGTTCAATTAGTTGGTAGTGAAGTTAAATTGAATAACAGACTGTTATTACTTTGTATAGAAAGACCCTTAGATGCAAATATGGTACACCAAATGAGTACATGATCGATGTATATAACTCTCAGAGGCTAACACGTAGGAAATGATTTCGTGCGTTGTTGGTAGGAGGGGATGTAGTAATTTGTCGGCTTGGGCAGACGGCTGGCTCGAAGCTGATAAGGGGGTTGGTCCATTCTAGTCTGATTCAAGCACATCACAGCTATACTCTACTCTACTTATACAAGTACTCTATCGCGATTTACGTCGTGTAAGACGTCCAGCAGCTCTCACTAACTGCTCCACTTTTCTTCCCATTTATTTCCTCCAATCACAAGTTTTCCATCATTTTTAATTTACACTTACAATTAGTTTTTTTCTTTCTTCAACATTAATAGCTTCTTATTTATTATTTTAGTGTGTATGAGAATGGTCCTAAGATAGAATATTTCAACAGAAAGGAGCATTCCCTCTGGTAACATCGAAATGTTGTAAACTAACTGATTGGCTCGCATTAAACCAAGTTGGCTTCCTAATTTTGTTATCGTATTACTTGTTTCAAAATTTACTTCAGTACGTGTACGACTCTATTTTCGCACGTTTCTCAATCAGTTTAGCATTAACGTCGAGAAGTTGTAATTGTAAAATGTGACAAGAATAATTACTTGTTCTATTGATTTGAATAATTGTGTTTTTGTTGGAGGTTTATTCTTATCATTATCCTGTGTGTCTATTCAATTAACTAATTTTCAAGTCCAAGAAAAAAATACTAGATTACCAATTTAAAATAACACTCTTGGAATTAGTAAATGTATTTTTTGCTTCAATTAATTACCTAAATAACAATTAATACATCAATTTAACAATCATTGCAGCACTCCATCAAAAATTAATTATTGATTATAATTTTCATATTTGATTAAATAAGATTACAATAATATTTACCAACAATTTCATTTGTTCATTCATCATTATCATCTCTGCAAAGCAAGAATATTTTATAGCTCCTAATTTCCAATAGTAGTAAAAAAAAATAAAAGTTCGTATTTTTTTCAATAAATAACATCAAGAATATCACTTTTCATATTTTCACACGAAAAACCTTTATAATATTCGAAATGATAATCTAGATAGTATTCAGCTAAAAAAGCTTGATTTTATACATTTAGAATTTAATTAACGAGCGTATTATTTACATATAGAAATACATATCATTTTCAGATGGCTTTGAATAATCAGATTTATAAAAGAAAAAGTTTCAGTCTCTGGAAAAAAATACTCCAGCCGTTTGTCATATTACTCCAATTTCTATTTGATTTTTATTTTTAGATCTTCTATCTAATGTTCACTTTTTCTCTATCTATAGTTTCTGTGGTATGCTTCTACCCCTTTAAAACTCCACTAGTAAACTGCCAAACTCTGGCGTGGGCAGTCGTCCAGTTACGACCCTTCATTACCACTCTGGTTGAACTTTCTAGAACTGCATCCTGTCTAAATTACAATGAAAAATTAATATGATTTTGACAAATAATTTCAATGGATGCTACTGACATTATTGATAAATTTATATGACTTTTCTCGAGAAAAAAAAAGGAACAAAAATTATGATGAAAATATTATAAAAGAAACTTGATATTATAACTTTATTTGAAATAGTTCAATTTGCTGAGTATTCATCGTTGATTTTAGAGAACATATGGTCTTTACTAGTTTGCCATGTCAGACTCCAGCAGTGAGACGGTCACCGACAGAGAATCATGTGTGTACTTACAGTAACAGCAATACCATGTCAACCACAGAGAACCAAAACCAACAGTCGGCTTCACAGAGAGTATACTTCGAACTCCTCAATAGCTGGGATGTTTAATTACGTTTGATCAATGAATTTCTTAGCTGAGTCAATTCGAGAAACTGATGAAACTTAGCTGAAATTTATCATTCAAATTAAATTGTTTAACTGCCAAGGCATACATCTCAATGTGCAAACAGAAAAGTTTGTTTTTTTCATCTGAATTTCAATGGACTTCGATTGAAAACTTTTAAGAATCTAGGTTTTATGCTTTTTTGAATAAAAATTAAGGGTCAACTTAGTTTGCCACCTTTAGGAGTATAAAACTCCAACTTTAAACAACAGGAAGCGACACCAGCTGAACTGACGGAAGCAGAACGTCGACAACATTATATAGAATCCTATAGCCTGAGGAATTTCACTAACTTATCACATTTTGTTGGTTTGTTTAATAAACTCAAGGTTTATTTTTTTGGATTCCGCTTGAATTTTTTCACTTGGTTGGTGATGAAAACTTGCACACATTTAAAGTTATATCTTTTGAGTATTTATATACATATATATATATATATATATATATATATATATATATAAAGAATATGAATAGAAGAATATTTTTAAGTTCTTATATGATTCTCTGAAAAAATGAAGCGTATAAATAAACTTTATAATAACTTGAGAAATAAAGTTATATCTAACCTATAAAAGTCCGTTTATCGTACTAGCTTTTCTGCCGCCGGTATATATTTCAACAAATCTTACCGACGATGCTTTGAAACTGAAATTCACCTTTTTGTTTAGTCAATATTTGCCTCACTTCCGTTCGTTCAGTGGAAAAGACAAAATAATGAGAAAAGATAGATACTCTAGTCAGTGAAATAAATTATTAATAAAATTTACATTTGCATTCGAAATGTGGTCTCAAGTCAAAGATAAACGAGAAATTCTTGCTCAAAAAAATACTAAAATGAGGTTTATTCCGAGATCTAAGTAAGTTTATTAATTATTAATCATTTGGAGAAATATCAACAGTAATAACACTGGTTTTTTCTTTTCTTTATTTCTTTTTTATCTATTAAAAAAGAATATTTTAATTATGTTTTTAATTAAAAACTATTTTTGGAGCATTGAATTTTTAAATATGCACCACGGTCAGAAAAAAGTTTTGATACATAAAAAGAAAACAATATAAACATTTCCATTAATGTTATTTTAATAAAACCATAAATAATAATGTATGATTAATAATTTTATGAATAAATAATGAAGATTAATTTTGCAAATCGATTTTTTAAAAATAACTAGAAACTAATGAAAATTCATTTTCAAAGGAATTTAGTACGATTAAATATTTAATTGATATCGTTACAATTTTTTAGTCTTACTTGGAGTGATAATGAATAAAAAAACCTAATAATAGAAAATGATGTTAAAGGTGGGCCTTGCCAATGAAGACCTCGAACTACTGGAGGAAAATTCTTGAAGATATTGAATCCAAGACTCTGAAAGTAAGAGAACCCTCATTAACTCCATTTTCTTTAGTTATTCCAGCTTCTTTTTCTAAACGTAAGATTAAAAACGTGGATGATAGCCATCATGATTTAAAAATAAAACCTACAATAAGTGAGCCATTAGTCAGAATTTCACCTCCTTCACCGACTCATAATTGCAGTAAATATCTTAATGCTCAAATCGAAGTCTCCAATGCTCTCAACGTTGAAGGAATGAATAATTTAGTGTCTTGTGATAGCAGAAAATCACAGAATAATATCAAATCTGAGATGCAAATAGAATCAGAAAACGAAATTATAAATAAACAGTCCTCGGAAGATATACATTTTAATCATCCTTATCCATCACTGTTTAAAATATCACAATTATCGAAAATTTCCAAATGCATTAACAATTTTTTAGCACACACCAGAGATACAGTCAAGTCTGGAGCTGAATGTGAAATTTTCAAGAATACAGTTTCACCAGAACAAACTTTGGATAGTGATATGGAAAAAATGAAAAAGTTTTTTGCACCTAAAAATACATTCAATAAAACAGATATTCAATGTGAGCCACAGGAGTCTTCGAAAGTAATCAACGTTGATCGAGAAAAAGAAATTAAAGAATGTAGTACAGTTCGATTAGAACAGAAAAAAGTATCTTTTTTAAACGTTGAAAATGATAAAATCGATTCGATTTCAGAAACTGAATATCGACCAGTACCAAGAAGACGAGCTCCAAGTATTGCAATAGCTAGTGCACTACCTAGTTTTGGAAAAAATGTATCATCCCTCGAGTACTCTGATTCTTTAGATAACTCCTTGTTTAATGAAGATTTCTCTACAGAAGCAGATACTCCTGAGACAGTAGAAAATACCGATCAAGTTATGAAAGCTGAAGCTTCTAGAGAACCCGATAAATCTTCAACAAAAAATAACAATCTTCAGGTTCTACATTATCAGAAAGTTGATCATTACTCTCCTCGTTATTCAAGAAATCAGCAAAAAATGAGATCTAAATATCTTTTTGCTAAATCGTCCAAACCAAAAGAATTCCAATCCATCGAAAAATTCCAGTATTGGCCAAAAAAATCACTCGTTAATATTCTTAAAGCTCTGAAGGTCATGAAAAGTAGTACTCGTAAAACAATAAACGGAAGAAGGAATGAGCATTTATTCCTTACTACCTCACCACTCCAACGTACTTCAGCAGTTGAAGGATCTTTCAATTCAACGATTACCCACAAATTCACTGATCATTCTTCAAGTATTCGATCTGAGGAGTGTTATGAAAAAGAGTCAACTTCAACGTCGCCATCATCTTTATGTTCATATTCAAGTGTTCGAAGGAGACCAATTGAAAAACCGTCAGTTTCTATTGAAAAAAAAATTCTTTCTTCTCCAGGATTTGCAGATAATTTAAAAATTGAATCAGACACTTTGTCAAGACGAATCAGTAGTGAACTAGATATTTCTGTAGTAAGCACTAGTAATCAAGCAGATACTTCATCAATATTTAAAAAAGATAAATCAATTCTGAAAAAGATTCCACAAGTCGACAGAATGTACCAGCGAAAAAAAAGTGACAAGTGTTTGGCATGTTTGCACACATCAATGATGCCAGATTCAACAAATTTTCTAAGGTTCGACAATGTGAAGTTTTCAATATCATCCATGTCGGAAGGTAAATTGATTCTTGATGAACCAGATAATATATCCTATAGTAGAACTGATTATAACAGTCGTCATGAATTATTTAGAAGAGAAACTACGTTGGATCTTGAACAATCTGATATTGAATTTGAATTACTTGAAGATAATCTGATTACAGAAAAGGTAAGATCTTCTACAGAATTGAATAATGCTTCTAATAATTTAGCTGATCAATTTCGCAGTAACGTGTCTTCATCTTTGCATGCTGTTGATCGTAAATCAGATGCAGGGTATGAGAGAAAAAGTATCATATCAAGTAAATCACTAATATCAAATTTATCGGTGGTATCTGATCGTTCAAAGACTGCATCAGATCAAGATGATTCTGATCAAGCTATTGATGAAGGAGGAGAAATGGAACAAAATATAGTAGAGTCAAGATCAAAATTTTTGGCACCTTGCCATGCACCTTTGAATCTTAGACCGAGTCTCGAGCCACTAAAAGCACTCCGGAATAAACAAGCTCGCTCAATACAATCCAGAATGGCTTCACTCGAAAAGTCAACAGAAGCTGAAAGCGATGAAAAAAGCGAAGATGATGAAGTACCAATCGTAGTTACCAAAGGCAAAGACAACAATGAAAAAAAATATATTTCTACTAGAATTGAAAGCGATAGATTGACTACTTTCACTTCAGAATCGACAAAAGAATCAAGGCAAAATTTAAATTGCATAATAATTGAAGAAAGTCTATTAAATTTAGATGATTTCAACGATTTATTGGCACAAATAAAACACCAAAGTGACTTACGTGAACAATGTAAAGCTAATGAGCTTTTAATTGCAGATAAAATATTTTCAGAATTAAACATGACTAAAAAAAGAATGGAATATAATTGGAACAATTCCTTTGTACCAATTTTTCCAATACTATTTGATTACGAAATCGTCGAGATATCACAGAAATTATTAAAAGAGGGTAAAAGTATTGTCGAGATTTTACATGAGCTTGTAAAAATATATTCTGATCGTTTGTCTGAAAGAGCTTTACATCAACGTAAAAAAATGGATCCAGATGTCTCTAAGAATATTGAAATGATAAAACGTTTATTGATGCTACTAGTAGATTCAAAAACTTACTTAAATCATCAACAAAATTCCTCTAATCCTAGCCTACCTCCTTCCCAGAAACCATCCATCAATTCCCGACAATTGAGACGGGTCTTTCCAGTGAAATCCTACAATCTCATAGCACCAATTTTAGGATTACCGGAATGGCATCCCAAACGCTGGACATCGGTTAGAGATGCAAATAAATTGAGAGTTGGATCTAAAAAGGTTATCACCACAGATGATCGATTTTCTCTAAAATTAACAGGACAAGATTCTGATACAAGTATTGATTTAATAGTAAGTAATAAAATACATCTAATAATAAAACATATCTATACATTTGTCATAAAAGTTTAATCTGTGATGTTTATTATAATTGACTAGTGAAGTTTAATTAATATTCCATTATTTTCGTATTAATTACTGATTTAATTTCTAGCTATTTTAGTAGCTGTGTAGAAATAAATTCAATAGAACTTCTGATGGTTGAATAGTTAGAATTATAGGTATTTATTATAAAATTATGCCACATTTCAAAACATCAAAATTCACATTATTATGACGTAGGTCCCATACTTAATCAATATTTCAAATCTTATGATAATAAATAACTATAAAATAAAAAATGTTAATTTACCAAATGATATCAAACTATAAAACCAAGACATTTTTTTACTCTGCATGATGATCGATATTTTAACTCTTCTTTAATCTTTCTTCTCACTTTAAAAATATGTAAATTAATTTTAATGCTACAATTCAAGTCACAGAAGATAATTTCTATCTATTTCTAGTCTAATTGAAATCAATCTAAACTCAGGCTTTTATTGATGAGTTTTTAAATATATATTGAATTATTGACATTCTTTTTTATAAGACATGATAATTCTCAATTTATTACAAAACGAATGATACTTTATGCTTGAAATTGATTTTAGGCTCATCCTCCAACTCAAGAGAAAACAGCATCAACAGAAGATGAAGGAGAATCTTGGACAAAGAAGCGATTGAACCCCTATGGTTTTTTTATTACTAAACCTCGAAGAAAAGTACCGTTGATGAGAGAATAGAAATAAAACAATTCCAAGTCATTGTTAAATAATACATTTATTGGTTTATCTAGGTGGTAATTTGGCGTCCACTGGTAGCACAAGATTTCGAAGGATATGATCCTGAAACAACTCTCAAAAGACGAGCTGCGAGAATTACCAACGAAATCTGTACAGATTTCTGTCAATGGTTGAGAAGTCTTGGTGGATTTGATACAACGATTGATGAAGAAGTGTTGAAGGAAATGTTTGAAACTGACTTCTCTGCTGATGCTTGTAGAGCAATGCAGGTAAAGCATGAAGTGTTCTAACCGACTGCTTACCCCAGTAGATGTTGGTGGGTTTAGACGTGGTCTCTTCAATATCAAGAGGTAGTAAAAAGACCTTTCAATTAACAGATTTCTCTCAAAGAGCTACCCATGGTACCATCATCAATAGCAAAAGCTCTGAATTGTCCAGATGCTGGAGAGTTTCAGAGGGTGAGAAAACAGTTGATGTTGGATGTTAAAGCAGAAAATCAACAACCACGACTCACTGCTTTTGGTTCTGCTCTGCCAAATGATTTGAAATACATTCCTCCCAAAAATGAGGTCAATTTAAATTGGCTCCATTGTGAAAATATACCAGAAGACTTAGAGACAATGGATGCTGTGTGGAAAAATATTACAGATTTAGATAGTGTTAAAGGATTCATTAACTGGATTCAAATTCATCATCCTAAAGTAAGTATGTTTATTTGATAATATTTCATGTAATGTATACATTCTCATTAATGATTCATTTTACAGACTAAGCTTCCTGCAGCTTTAAAACATTCTTCAGTAGCTAAAAAAAGCAACCTAAATCCAAATAAAAGAATAATCAGATACAGAAAATGCTTAGCTAAAGACAATTGATATATTTTTGATAATAAGAAACATTTCTATGATTAATAGAAAGTCATTTTATGTATCAAAAAAATTTATCTCATTTTAAGTGATTGATGTTTTTTCTTGGTGGAATTAAAGAAAGAAGGATGGAAAAAAATAGTACAATAGCTTTAAATCCAGAGCATTTCTTAATTTTCCAAATGAGGATGGCCAGAGTTCACGCGTCAACTATGCTGTAACTTGTATCTGGCAGTGACAGAGGACACGATTTCTGTCAGAGCCAAGACCAAGAATAGGACAAAGAAAGCGTCTCATTTAAGGTTTTCCATTTCATCTTGACACAATATTTTCAAGAGTATTGAGTTTTTACTAATCATCACAATTTTATTCTATTCATCATCACACTTTCTCATCATGATTATTACTACATATTCAAATAATAACAATTGACGAAAAATGAATACCAAGGATGAAAAGAATTAATAGCTATGAAAATAGATGCTAACAATAATAATATCGACAGCAAGTGATGAGAATAGTTACAGTTATTAGACTTGATGATGAGATCAAGTCGTGCATATTATCCTCACTAGCATCCAAGTGATGCAACCAAGTGTCATCTCAAGGGTGACGTGCGAAGGTAGAGACTGAAGTCTTGACGTTTTACCATAAATTTTCACCTTCGCTGAGTTTCCAAACGTTTACTTATTCTTATTTTATTCTGCTTTCACAAGGCTACCTTTGCTTTTTTCCACTTGGTAACGGTAACAGTAACTTATTAACGACTTTTACTGACCTTGCAGATTACTTTTTCACCTTCTTCTCATACAAAACAAAAGCAAATGGATCCTGATGAATTTTCAATTTTTCCTGGCCAAAGATTTTTTAATAAGTTCCTAATGCCAAATAAAAGAGAGAAATTTAAAGAATAATGGACATAATAAGAACAAAAAAAAAACAAATATGCCAATCCAGAAAATATCCAATACTCCAGTAAACAACTACTTATATGTATACTCAACTCACAGAATTAATTTCCTGCTTCATCTTCAAAGCTACTTGATTAAATTATGAAAAGCTACAAAAGGTTCTTTCAAGAATGTAACAGACAAGTAATACTCTTTCATAAATCTAGATTCAATCGTTGACAGCATGCATAGAGTAAATGTTGATAATATTAAAAAATCATTGAGTCAGAATAAAATAAAAATAAAATTGATTGAATATCAAAAGTTATATTGCGATGGTTAGAAAGATTTGAACATGCTAATATACTTGTGTGTGATACATATAAACTCCAATCCGCATTACGTCGTTGTAACTTCAACTTCCACATCCGGTCTGACCCGGAAAGCCGCTCCTGTGTTCACGTCAGACTGTGGTTCACTAATACATTCTATTATAAAACCATTCATTCTATATTATTCGTTACATTCTACACTACAACTTTCGGATAATACTTATTCGCTGGTTGCATGGGTAGTACCGGTTAACAAATAAAATAAGTTTTTTCAATAGAATCGAGGCAGGTTTAATAAAGGCGAGGCAAATCAGTCTCTCAGTGAACTTTGATCGATTCGCATTGCATTTTTAATTTAATCCGGAGTTATTTTATTATTAAATGTGATATTTGCTAACTAATATTTCTTTTATTGATTGTTTTAATCAATCTTCTAAAGGGTTACTCGAACTGATATTTATGCTCCATTTGGATGTACAAATTAAATAAACTTTGATTAATCAGTTATATCTAGTTTTAATAAACAATAAACTCTTTTTTTAATTTAATAAGTAAAATGGAATTTTTTGACCATTATTCCAGTGATTGAGCTTTTAAACATATATTTTTCATCCCAATTGTGCTTAGGCATCAAGAAAAAGATGGAAAAGTTATTTATTGCTTTAAAACTTTCGTTGATAAGCTTTTTTTTTTGAACTTTAATTTAACCAAGGATTAGTAAAGTTGACTAATGTTGTTATCAAGTTGAGTTCAAAAAATAAAAATTAGTAATTTAATATTTGCAAATCAATACTATTGCATGTCTTCTTGTTTGAAGGTAAGATATTATGAAATAGATTAACTACATCAAACAGAGTAATTAAAATATCTCGAGTGTAATTAAAGGATGGCAATAAATGCTCCAATAATTGTAGATTATATAACAAAATATTTTTAAAAAAAGCAATAACTAACAGATTAAATTGGAACAAAATAAGATACTGAGTAGAATATTTTTAAATTTTATTCTTTAGATTTATATATTGAACTCGATAATTATTCTTCAACAAAGTATAGAAACTGCTTGATATTGGTGATCATTATCACTGAATAGCAAAGCTGTAGATAATAAGTATTTAGAAGTCTGGATTGAGAAAAGCTAGCTGATTAATAATGCTAAGGAATTATTCTTCAATTGTTTCTTCAATTTTTCTATATAATACAAAAATAAATATATATATATATATAAAATATTGATGACATGATCGTCTTCTTGAATTCTCAATTTTTCAACTTAATTTTTTTGAAGACAATCAGAAACTTAAATTAAACTTAAATTAAAAAATTACATAAGGCAGTTTCTTGAAAATAGCAATATGTTAAAATAACATTAATCATCATTTTTTAATTAGTAATTATAAATTCTTGTACGATGATTAATGAAAAATGATTCCATGACTTGATGGAAAAACTAGTAATGAAGTCAAAATATTTTATTAATTGTCATACACTACTGCTAATGTTGAAGGACATTTTTTAATATCTTGATTTTGTGACAACTTCTGTTATTAAACTTATTTTTAACAAACTGTTATCAGATTTTCTTCGTTGCAAATTCAAAACGTGGTAGAATTGCATAAACAAACCATTAAAAATTTTATTCGAGGTTATACCTGTACCGTCTTATATCAAATTAAGAAGCCATTTTTGTCGCGTCATGTATATGTCTTGTAAACACTTATTATACACTTCAGTGTGCGAAAAATCTGTAGTTTGTTTATAGCAATTAACATTGAATATGTTCAGTATGTAACAAGTGTCTAGAAGAACAATATACTCAGATTTTCAGTGTTATTTTTAAATTTTTCTTAAATTATATTATTTCTAAATGATAAAAAACTCAAATCATATTGAAAAGATAAATAAAAAAAGTTGAATGAAAAAGTATAAAAACACCATCTGCATATGATATAAAATATTAAAATAACTTAAAATTCATAGACAACTTACATAACCAATAATTGTTTTTACAGTCACAACTGTAATGGAACGAAAACTTTACTTCTGCCCGGACACTTTTACAGTGAAGGTTTCACCCTCCAGTGAAGTACAAAGAGAAAAATGAAAATGGTTTGAAAGAACGAAAAATAAAACTAGTACCATTTGTAGCTTAGTTAGTGCGACAAACGTTCAGTGCACGCGACTCGATCGCATGTGACCGCAACCCCCTGCGGTGAAATCGTACGGGCAATTAGACAAACGGGCGAGCGAGAAGTGCACCACTTTCGCTCAGTTAAACACCCTCATCGTGATGCCAGTGTCTTTTTTTTTCTCTTTTACTTGAACCATTGCAATTGCAACTCTCATCAGCAACAATTCTTTCCTAAACAACTCCTCTGCATTTTTTGCAGTCACTTGAGATAAACAAGTTTTATTTTCACGCTTCAGAGACATTGGAACAAGATTTGAAGTGGTAAATATAAATTTACATGACATTCAAATATCTGCTGTTACATGGATTAGTTTCTTTTTCATTTAACCCTTCTCTGTAATCTGTTAATAAAATGAAATGATTATTTTTAGATACTTAAATATGAATATAAAATGAAACACATAAACTGATGGCGTCGAGGGATTGAGTGTCGACAAGATAAAGAAAATCCTGAAAGCATGTCGATGTGAATGTAGTTAGCTGTACATCCTACGTTGGACATATGGACAAGTGTCGGTGAGTATATATAATTTGCATAGGTTGATGTGGTCAAAGGATTTACTTTACTAGTGAGCTTTCTAAAGTTGAAGGAAACTAACGCGAGAAAGCCCTGTTCATGTTTCACCCACAGAAAGGTTTCCTTCCTTAGGTAACACGGGAAAAGCTTACTTGATTCAATGTAAAAATCAAAATATCTTCAAATTCAATCATTTTTTTTTTTTTTTAATATTTTGCAAAATGATCATAGAGACTAGTAGGATGTTTGCCATTACTAAAATCCTCTTGATCTAATGCCCACACTAAAGAATGAATGATAAGTCTTATTATCAATGAAAACTATTTTATTGAATAGAATATTTAGTTATTGGATAATTAGAAAAAACCTAGGTTGTTGATGCAGTTAGGTAGATCTTTAATTAAAAAATTTAATTAATGAACAAAGTAATTTTTATAATTAAATTATTTGAGTCTTTTATTTCCATACCTAAAAGGACTGGAATGTGTTGTTTTAGAAAAATATGTTGTTTATTACTTCCATCCAAGGCAAATTATTTCATTCCAGTGTTGAAGAAAAACTGTGTTAAAGTCAGTTGAATTTATAAATATATCTACAGTTGACTATCCATGTGAAAGAAATAATATGAATTTCATTTGAAGTTCTAGGGGTTAAAATAATCTAACCCCAGACAGTGATAATCGACATTTGAATCGTCATTATAGCCTGTCATTTCCAAAGAAGATTTGAAGCAAGTTGATGTCGAGTAACTGAGGCTTTCGTAGGCCAACTCAGTTGGGGTTGCTCTTTGGTTAAGATGGAAATTGAATTCTCCTCTTGTCATTCCTCATCATACCATCTCTCTTCATCATCTTTCTTTACTCTCTTTTCTCTTTATGCGTTCACTTGATTGGTCTCTTCTTCGTCATTTTGACTATCTGATCACTGTTATTCCATTGTACAACCAACCCAAACAAACACTATTCAACTTCAGTCTTATATACAACAGCATTTTTGTCAGATTCATTGAAAAGAAGATCGTTTGTTCTCAGTAGTATCTTTATTTCTGGAATTTAGGTCAAGTCTCCACTTCTTACTCTTTTTGCTCATTTTTGAATAATATTTTTCACCATCGACAACTTGCCAATTTTATATCTTCAATGTTCTTGATGATATTTTTTTTTATTGATTAATAAAACAAATGAATAAAAAATTTTTGGGTGATTAAAAACTCATCAAGCTAATGTTCTTAGATTTGTTAAAACTTAACTGATTGATCATGATAGTCTTAACAGCAATCTCTGAAAATTAGTGAAAAAAATCCAGTTGCTATTTTTAATGACACTGATGATTGTTTATCTTATCAACAAGAGTAACTTCTTCCTTCTTTCCTTCTTCATTTGAAGAAGTTTTTATTTTTATAAAAATTAATAAAGTGAAATGATGAAAGAAAGCATATTGTTCTTTCAGAGCAAAGATCTAATGGATGTTCAAGTCCATCAAAGAGTTCATCAAAATCCAATCATGGTGGAAACATAAAAATATTTAATGTTCAAGCAAATTAATTAAAATTTGCAATAAACAAATAAGATGTATTCCATCATGAAAGTTGAATGTTGTGCTTGACTATTTTTCGCCAGCATGTTTAAGCTGCAG